TCTCAAATAAAAAAAATTCCTTTTTTTCCGATTGGACCGATGATAAATAATCTTTTTATTTGCTACCATAAAAAAAAATTTTATCCACTTGCAAGTTTCAATAATATCAGTTTAATTGGATTTAGAAAAAAAGACATGTTAATATAGACTTTGTTTTGAACAAATTTACTGTATCTCAAGAAACACTCAAGTTACAATGTCAGATAAAAGTTTACATACAATACATACAATTAGCTATTATTAATTTAATAGTACTTATATTCTGAGTTGATATCTTTAAGCAATTTTTAATTATTAATTTTTTTATCTATAAAACTTTCAATGAGGAGGAGGAAAAACAGGAAAATGTACGAAGTATATTTGTATAATATTAAGAATTTTTCTTCTCTAGACAATTTTTCTACCAGCAATTTTACTGTAACTTATAATGATAACAATTTTTCTATAAGGAAATTTCACCGAAGAGGTATTTTACAGAAGTCGTTTTTCGAATTTCTCCAGAGTTTTGTCAGCAAATGTAAAAGACTGAAAGAAACAGGAAGCCCGAAAAAACGTAGGGAAATCGGTACAGCAATAAACAAATATTATTAAAAAAAAATAAATACAGAATGATCAATCTATCCTAAGACACACGTTATCATGGAATATATTAATTTTTTAATGGAATTTGTTTTTTAGAATGTTTAAGAAACAATAATCTGTTCTAAAATTTTATAAATATGTTACTTTTCTTCACCATTATTTTTGAATGTAAAACCACTACTTAGTTTTGGTTTTCAAATATTATTTTATTATATTAAAAATTCCATAAATATATAAAGTATTATTTAAAATACATTTTTGATATCTGTCAATCCGTTGACAAGATTTTACTTTCTATAAATTCTACTTTTAAGTTAGTGTTAGGGGAGAGTGGTGGTGCATTATTAACACGTCACGCGCTGTACCTCCACACAAATGATACTCCGCTACTCTCCTCCTACTCAAACTTAAAAGTGGAAAATCTTGTTAATGGATTGACGAAAATTAAAAATTTCAGCATTTAGATTTATTTTAAATAATAATACGCCATCTATTTATGGAATTTTTTATATAGATTGCCATTTGAAAATCAAAAGTTGATAGTAATTTTACCTCTATAATGAGTGTCTTACGATAAATTGATCACCTCATAGAGCCTATTTAATTATTTTACAATAATATAGGATATATATTTTTGACAAAGCATCACTATTAACTGAACTCCGCTCAGAATCGTTTTTTCCTAAGCAATGGTTTATCGTTCCTTACAGGTTTACATTAAATTACCTATAATAGTGACTACACCCTTCCTCATTATCCTAGGACGTATTTTCACATGTAGGCTGTGGATCAAATCTCGCTGTTTAACGCGATCATCTAAAAATCATATATTGTGAAAATAATTGCACACTGAATAAATGAAGATAACAAATATATAACCTATAAACCTATAACGTTAATATTTTGTTGCAATATTCATATTTTTGAAAGGGTTTGAGGGAACGTAAAAAGGCTTACAATTCATTTTTGCCCAAGTACAAGTGCCGTAATTTGTTTTTATATTATACTATTATAATATATTATGATTAAAATGCACCCATAGTCCATGGCGGTAAATTGTTCGCTGTGATATTATACGTAGCTTCGATAAATATTTACTGGGTAGGCTATAGTCTCCACTTCTCTGTATCGGTTAGCAGTATTAAATGGGTATTTTTATTATATTTTGGGGAGTCTACACAGATAGATATGTGTTATACGGACATACAGTAGCAAAATCTTAATAATAGAACTCTCAAAACATTAAGCGTATCCGGACCTATAGTGCCTGACCGGACAGAGATCCTATAAAAAAAAAAAAAAATATATACATATATAATATTTAATCGTCAGAACCAAGACGGTTATTAGAGGTATAATAATATTATACCTGTTCCGTGTTAGTCATCGTGTGTCCGACGACGGCGGGCGCACGTAGGTTTGGCTGTTTACACACGGGTACATATAGTATTATATTATGAACTCGGGATAATAATTAGGAGGCGACTACGTAGATATATATATAAATATATATCTATACAATAATAGGTGCATAATAGGCAAGTTATAACAACGATAAACTCGTCGTGTGTAGAAGTACACGGTGTTCGGAATAAAAAGGTGTTCGCCTCCCACGTCGTAATAATAGGTATCGAGTCGAGATAATAATATTATGATGGTTTCTGTGACCATCTCCTCCTCCTTCTCTGTATTATACAAACCACAGGACCGTGATTTGCAACTTTACCCATTCAACACACACACACACACACACACACAGGGACGAGCAGAGAGCTTGATTAATTTCCAATTGTTAAAACAGCGGGTCTTTGTTTGATTAATTGTTTCCTCTCAACGGTTTTTTATTTCATTTTTTCCTACACGGGGTGGGCCGTGCGTCAGATCCAATGGAAACCTTTAAGTCGTGCAGTGCACACACATACACACACATACACACACACACGCCTTATAGATATTTTAACCTGCCTGTATAATACACTAGCTCGTGTGTTATATTATTGGACTAGTTGCGCGCAAAGAAATTATTAGGTAATTTTATTGGCTATAATCGTGTTTGTTCATAGTATAGGTAATATAGATACACCTTAAAATTATCTGCAAACTACAGCAGTTCTTTGGTATATCACAAACAACTCGTTGCAATACAACCTCTACGTTCAATATTAAATAAACTTATAAATCTAGCCTACAAAAGAGCATTTTTAATAACAACCTCGCTTCTAATTAAACTTCAAGCGACCTACAAGACGAAGCAAAAAAAAAAGTTGGGGGGAAAAATGAACTGTTGCAAAGACCAGCTTTCTCCTTAAAAAAAAAAAAAACCCAATTTCTTTCTAGGCCAATCAATGGCTGCCGCTGCTTATATTCTGTCATCATTTTCTTCCTGAACCTTAATTAAATTTGCTAATTGTTATAACTGATTATAGTAACTATATGAATTTTAAATACTTGTATACGTTTTTATAATGAGAAGAAAAATTAATCCTGTTTCAAAATCACACAATTTTGGCTACCACGTAATACGTATTGATATGAATAAAATTAATTATAAAGGGAATTAAAACAATTTTAGTGAATATCCTCTAAAGTTATGACTATTAATTGTTAAAAGAATTTTATTAACCACAGCACAATTTCAATTTTTAATTTGTTACTAAACTAATTGTCATCACCCATCATGATTCACTTATGGTTAAGTACCGATAATACTATTTTACTACAATATGTTTACCTATACTGGGCAATTTATTTGAGGCCACTTTTCTTGGCTTTTTTTTCCTTTTTCGGACGTATTGTCACATTAACTATTAAGTGGCCTTGCGATATAGTTTCATTTCAGTCACTGAATATTTCAAAGCCTAAAAAAAATTATAAAAATTACTACCCCATTTTCCCCCAAACCTGTTCTCATATTTCTAGCAATTGAATTAGAAAACGTCGTTCACTACGCTATGGTGTGCCACTGTGTTTACACACACGGGCATTCTATTTCAGCCAACAATAAAAACTAATCATTATCGTCGGCGATTACCTCGTATGTATATTAAATAGGGTGATTTTTTTAAACACCAAACAGCAATTTTCTCGGACGATTTTAAGGGAATTTGATTTCTGTTTTTTTTTTAGTTACTATAGAATTGGTTAAGTTCTTTTTAGTATCGTTTTTAATTTTTCACCACTTCTCCATATACGTTAACATTATTATGAATTTTACCGGGTATGAGTTATAACTGTTTTAAGTTTAGACCATAGGAGTAGAGAATGGTATTAAATTGCAAATCTATTTTTAAATGATAAATTGTTAATTCTTTCCCACTTCCACGGTCTAAACTTAAAACAGTTATAACTCATACACGGTAAATCTGATATTATTGTTATGCATATCAATATTTTTAGAAAAATATTCGAATCTGTAATCAAATAGAGTGGTTCTTATTTGAAAAATAAAAGATTATACTTATTAAGGTATATCGTGTTGGGGTGAAAATTAAAAATGGTTTTAAAATAAACCTTAATCGATTCCACAATGATTAAAAAAACAAGTACAAAATATGTTAAAAAAATGTATGTTGATTTATGTTAAAAAAAAAAATCACTCTGTATATCTACTTACCACATTTGGGGTAAATAAAATTTTAAAAATAATATTATTTATATACTAAACTCTACATACACGACCGCGAGATACAATCATATTAAGGTAGGTAGGTAGGTTTGTACAGGTATAATATAGGTACCCGTAACGTAGTATAGGTATTTAATATTTATTATACGTGCGATGATGCCGATGGCCCACATGTCTCGTCGCGATAGCTTGTTAGCGCGTTATACGCATTGTGTCGGTGTAATCGGTTAGTGACTTGTAGTTTTCTCGGCGCGTTTAAAAATTATTAATCAACAGTTATTGATTGTCTGTGTGTGTGGGGGCCCCCACGCAACATTGATTTTGTCGAAAACCGATCGATAGCAACAGATATAATACATAATAATAATAATAATAATAATAATATAGGCATGATATTGTACAATTATATTATATAGGTATCCCCTTGGCTATACAAAAATATATTATAGTGGGTATAATATAAGTACCTGTAAGAGCGAGACCAACGTGGCACCCATTGCATATAGGGTGTCTCATCTTTGCTCATCTCACGGATATTTATTATTATTATTATTATATATTATATTAAAAATTATTATTGTATTTACACTGGGTGTACACTATACATTCGCGATTAACACGGCACACAGACATTTCATTGTTATCACTATACAACAATATTATACACGCGTGTGTGTGTGGTGAGAAAAAGAATCGAATTTGTAGTAAAAACTATATATATATAGTTATATATAATACAATAATAGTAATCGTCATAGGTAGGCATATAGTATATACTTACCCGGACGCACGTTTAAAAAAACGAAATGCTATGTACAATATAACAAATGTAAGTATAATGAAATAATGTTACACAGTAGTCATCATAATACATAGGTAAGTATATTATTTATTATATTGCAGTTATCAATTTGTTTTGAGTTATTATAGTACATACTCGTATAATATTATATATATTTATATATAAGTAGTATAATAATGTATGTTCTTGCGCAGTTGATATTTATCACAATTTGAACAATAATTTTTACACGATTTTTTCTCAATATTTTAAATATCAAACTGTACCAGAAACAATTATAATGTTAATACAAAACTATTAAAAAAATTATATAAAATAAAAATAAAAATTTAGCCCATGATCCTCCCCCAATTGATGCTGAAAAATGATTTGATATTTCGACGTTGAAAAATTGATTTGGAATTGAGATTTTGAAAACTAAATTTGATATTGAGATGTTTAAAAAATTGGATCGACGTTTCGCTGTCGGTGTTGAAACCTTTGGTAAGCTTAAAACTCGAAAAAACATAATTAGTAAAAGGAAAAAAAAAAAAATTTTATTTTGATATCGTAACCTTATACCTGAAAAATAGCTTTTTGAAAGAAATGTATACTACAGAATAAGAACCACTCATAATTAGATTTTGAAAAAAACTTTTTTAAATTAACGTACGCTCAATTCTGACTTCACCGTTCTTAAATCAGCTGTATAAATAATATGTTTAAAAAAAAAAAAATTGAAAAATTAAATTTGTTCCTTATCATTTTTATATAAACGATTTTCGTAAAAATATGATATTAAAATTCTTTATAAAAAAAAAAAAAATACTACATTAAACTCGATATTTTTCACTACAAAGACTTTTAATGGACCTCCTGTTAAATTTCACGTATTTCAGTTTAGTCTAGCAATTTTACTATATAGTACCTATCGAATACAAATTTTTATTTTGTCACATAAGTATTTTTTCCTGATTATAATATTATATTGTTAATACCGATTACAATTGGGGGGGGGGGAGAACTCACCTCCTAGCTTTTCTAAAATTTAAAATAATTAATCCAAATATCTCAAAAGCCCAAAATTTGTTATTGGTACCAAGATGTATGATATTTATCAATATACCTGGATTGGGACCTAGTCAGTAGGTATGCTTCGTGATAATAGAATTCCGCTAATTTATTATTATAATACACAACGATGTATTAAATGTATACCTTTAATCGTGGTACCAACCATAGATATTAAATAATGGATAGGCCATCTAGGTATTAGGAGATGATAGTTTGTTTGTCAAAAATAAATAAACAACCGTATTATTAAGAGTAAATAAGTCAAATAATGAAATTAATAACAACAATATAACAGGTACAATGTAGTTTAATAATTTATGTTCATAATAATTATTTTATTATTATAAGATTTATAATCTCCGATATTTAATAGGTACGTCTTGCAATGATAATAATCACAGAATATAGCTTGCGATAATTCCTCTGGCAGAGTGAGAAAGATTGATAAAAACAGTCTTTCTAGTTTTATAATAAATTAGAGTTACTATAATTTATTAGTGTACAATTTAATATTATATTATGATACTTTGAACGACATTTTAAAATACATATAATATATTAATACAAGTGTTTGATTATTAATACAAATTAAGGCTGTCTCTCCCCCTGAATGTTCACCTTGCGCCCTTGATCGATTTTTATAATATTCGGTTGTATTATATTTTTTTCAAATATATAAGCGTTTTAAAATGATTGCATACATTATATATACTGATTGACGTATTTAGTACAATTTTAATCAAACCGATCGAGTTTATTAATTATATATTATTAGATCGGAAATGAGTATACCTGATTCAAAACTCGTATAAATATTAAACATACAATAATTATAATAATACCACGGTGAAATCTCAGTCAAATATAATAATATCTAATAACATTATAATTGTACGGAGGTTATAAAAAAAATAATAACCTGTATTAGGTACAGAAATTATCAAGTCTTCAAACACTTCCGGTCTTCGATATTTTAATAATTATTATTATATCGTACATATACCTAGAAGATTATTTTACATTGGTTCATTTATTAATAGGGTGTTCGTTTTTATTTTTTTTTTTTGTACACGACACACACATAAATATGTGTGCATATTGAATATAGCACCTATATAATATATGCCCATAGGTGTTTATTATATTTTTGCATGATGATTCGCAAACATGTTGTTTTTCACTTGAACTACGGGTTTTTTTTTTTTACAATATATTTTATTTAAACAATAATATTATGGTGGCCACGGGTTCCAGATTTCTCGGGATGTTATCGGTTTAGGAACCAATGTTCCAGCGTCTCGACAAAGTTTATCTTCGTTTATTTTGGACATTTGTTCTGGTTACTTTTTAAAAATAATATCGTCTAAATGGTCGCCTTCAGAGCGAATGGCATAATGTGTTCGTTTTTCGGCATTTCCCATTGCTTTTCGAAGTATTTAAGACTGAATGGGGGCCCTAAATAAACAAAATTGACAATGAAAACCCTAAATTAATCCACGAACAACCTCTCAACAATCAACGTGTGACATTTTGGGCAAACATTTTTATGATAACAATCATTGCACCGTTCGAAGGAGATGCTGGAGCAGCCGTATCCATCAATGAAGAGCATCATCGGGCCATGATAACGGATATTTTGGTTCCATTTCTGGTTTATAACAACATGAACTATTGGTTTCAACATGACGGAACCACAGGCCATAGCTTATACAGCTCGAGCCACGATTGCTTTATTGCATCTTCTGTTCTTCGGACGCTTAATTTCAAAAAAATGGTGATTTCGACTGGCTTCCGTGATCACCCAACTTAACGCCTCCATACTTTTTCCTGTGGGGTTATTTAAAGTCTAGATTTTAGTTCCGGACCCTAGAAGCGTTTAAAGATAATATATGACAGGAAATGGCTGCTTTTTAACCTAAAACATTTCGAATAGTAATGGGAAATGCCGAAAAACGAGCATATTACACTCGACATTCACTTTGAAGGCGACCATTTACGCGATATTATTTTTAAAAAGTAATCAGTACAAATTTCCATGTATAAAATAAACGAAAAATGATTCAAAATTAATAATTTGTGTTTTATTTTAAAACTACTACCAAGAAATATCTCGAAGGTTTAAATGATTCACCGTGTACTTATGAGTAAAGTATATTTAATTACATAACTAATATGAGTCTAAATTGTTTTACAATATGCGTTGTCTATAAATGAAGGTTAAACAATTTAAAGATTTTACTACTAAACCTAATTAAACCTTTCCCTCTCCACCCCATCAACCACCATCCGAAATTGATCTGGGTATTGTTATATTATAAGATTAAACTGTATGCTATCTCTTTCTAACAATGTTGGTTCTCAGATTCTCTCTCTATCCCTCTGCTTGCAATTGATTTCCATTTTAATTTTAATGAACCTGCTATGATTATACCTTTGCTTTATTTCCTGTTAGCATTTATTTACCTATACTAATTTTATTTGTTCGTGTTATATTAAAAACCTAATATTATACAATATATTGAAATATTAAAAGTTTAAAAAAAATATGATACTACATACAGGTAGGCTACTATTTTAGATGGTTAGTTGAGAAGGTAATGTACAAGGTAATTTAGTTTTTATACAGTGTACAGTAAGATAAATCATTGCAAACGAGAAAACGATTCTGCTCGAAATCTGTTTATATATATTTTAAAAGGCAGTAATATTTACGATTTTCGTTAAAATTTGATATTAAAATTCTTATTAAAAAATTCTACATTACACTAAATTGTTTTTTATTTTTTTTATCACAAAGTACGACTTATAATGAAATTCCTGTTTCAAAAATGTCTGATTGGTTATATAATTTTATCCACAA